CTGAAATCCTCAGTTAACTGAAATCCTCAGTTAACTACCAGACTTAACTCTCTCCACCAGTCTTGGAAGAATCAACACTGTAGATTTCTAATTCCCATGAATGCAACCAAGGTTAGGCAGAGAGAGGCATTTGAAAAATCTATGTACAGAAAATTGACCAACAAATCATATCCATGCTACATCAAATGTTATAACTCAAATTTGGTTCTTCTCCTCATTACCTTTACCCTTAACCCACATCATGCTGTGCCAGAAATGTTGCAGGAGCCAAAGGACTAGTCTTCCTCCTCCACTGTGGGTCATCCCACCCAGGCTCTCCTTTACATTACCTCCAGAGATAGGTCCCTAAGAGTTAATCTGACTATGTCTCTCTCTCCCACCCCCAGTCAACTGGTGAAAAAGTACCTAAGGAATTTAGTCCTATTTTTCCTGGCATTCTAAACCCTTTACAATCTAGCTCCTCAACCTAACTCCAGTTCTGTCCCTTGGCATTCTCCCACCAAACACAGTCCAAAACCTCTGAATATCTCATTGTTCCTGGATGTGTCTTTTCCTTTTGTACTTTCTTTACCGTCATCTTTGACCACCTGTTGTTCCCTATGCCTAGAATGACTTTATCATTTTTCTCTAGTCTGAAAATCCTACTTACCCCTAAAGTCTAACTCAAAATATTACCTTTTCTGTGTGAAAAATTCTCCAATTCCCCAAAGTGTCCTCCTTATTTCTGTCCTCTCTTCTTTTCTCTTTAAAAAATCTATTATATCCCATTATTAATTATGATATTCATCACTTATTATAGTTATAATACCCTGTTGATGTGTCTATTTCCATCATTACATTATAACTTTCTTAAGGTAAGAGGCTAGAGATTATTTACCTTTGACTTCCCAGTGCTTATTATAATTCATGGTATACGGTAGGTATTCAAAATATATATTAGAATGAAAGACAACTTTATTACGACATTATTATGTGTCAAGGACTGTGTTAGCCACTGGGAATACAGAAAAACAAGAAACTCCCCTGATCAAAAGGTACTCGAGAAACATAAAGGGGAGATGAGAAATCTTCAAAAATACATTTTTCTTATATCACAATTGTATATACTTCGGAGCCCTATCATCAGCAGCCATCAAGTTCTTTTTCTTTCTCCTCAAATGTTTTAAAGGTTGGAATTAAACTCCTTAAATGTAATTGGTCATATGACTAATACTTTTAATTTCAGAATGGGATTCTATTTATAGGCATTCTCTAATCTAGGCCAGAGAGCAGCTCATTTGTCTTTAGAAATTATTTGAAACAAGAGCTAAACTATTTAGATATTTTAAGTAATATAGTAAGTCCCTGCAAAACAGCCACCCAAAACAATAACTAAATTCTAATCATTTTTTTCCCAATTCCTTCCCCATAACTTGCCCCACCTGATGTAACCATAGTCTTGAAAATCTAGCTCTCTTTTTCATATAACTCTTTATTATATTCTAGGTGTTTCTTGATATGTAAATATTAAAGTTATTTTAATAGTTTTTATCTTAATAAAAAAAGAATTTTCAGGGGATGGCCAGTTAGCCCAGTTGGTTATAGTGCACCGTTGTTAACACCAAGATCAAGGGTTAGGATCCCCGTACAAGCCAGCCACCAAAAAAATAAATAAATAAAATTCCTTGGATGTATTATTTTGGTACAGTTCATTTAATAGTATATTGCTAAGATTTATCCATATTGTTATATGTCTCTGTTGTTTATTAATTTTGAATGCTATATAATATTCTTTTTTGTGATATTACATGGTTTTATATCTACTCTTCTGTTGATGGTCATTTGAATTGGTTCAAGATTTATAGAATTGATAACAGTGCCACCATGAACATTCCTTTTGCTGTCTCAGTTATGTGCAAGAGTTTCTCTTGAATATAGACCTAGGAGTGGATGAAGTGATCATGGATTATATAAATGTTAGATTTTAGGAGATGTCAGTCAAACTGTTTTCTGAAGTGGTTTTTCCTGTTTATTCTCCCACCAGCAATGTATAAGAAAGCCAGTGGTTCCAATACCATCTCCAACTCTTGGTATTAATGGATGTTTTAATTTTCATCAATTAAATGGGTACAAAATAACATCTTCTGGTCCTGATTTTCATTTCTCTGTTCCCTAATAATCCCCTTTATGTACTTTTTGGCCATATGTGTTTTTTCTCCTGTGAAATGTCTGCCCTTACACAAGGAAATGTTTGTGCTTTCTCATTGAATTATAGGAATTTTAAAAATATATTCTTGATACCTATTTGTGTTGATTTTGTGTGATGCAAGCATCTTCTCTCAGTTTGTACTTTATATTTTTACTTTATAAAGAGCCTTTTAATGAATGAAACTTTCACATTTTAATAAATTGACCAACTTTTTTATAGTCTGTTTTCTTTTTTCTTATTTAAAAAAGTATTTCATACTCTGAGGTCTAAAAGATATTTACATGTATTTTGTACTAATAATGTCAAGGTTTTTGACATTTAGGATCTTAACACATCTGGAGTTGATTTTTGAATATGTGTTGTGCCCATTTCATATTTTTCCATAAGAGCAGCTATTTTTCCTGTTTCTATTTACTGAAAGGTCCTTTATTTCCCTATAATCTGACATGTTATATTTGTCATATACCAAAATTCTAGATATGTGTGATTCTGTTACTAAGCTCTCAATCCTGTCAGTCTGTCCTATAACCAATATAACACTGTCTTAATAACTAAATCTTTGTAAGAACTCTTGAAATCAGGTAACACAGGTATCTCTTCCCTGATATTTCTCAGAAATATTGCAGCTATCATTAGCTCTTTATTCTACTCTTTAGAATCATATTTCCAAATTCTGTGAAAAACTGTTTTGGAGTTTTGATTAGAATTGAATTGAATCTGTCGATCAATTTGGGAGAGAATTAGCATCTTCATAATATATTATTCCTTTTTTTATTATACATACATGTGTGGTACAACATTGATTTTCAATAATTGTGTAGAATGTGTGGTGGTTAGATCAGTATAGTTAGCTTATTCATCATTACAATATGCAATCATTCTTTGTGTCCATTGACCAGTTCCCATCTATGAACATGGTATATTTCTTAATTATTCTGAATCTTCTTTAATATTTCTTGATGTAATTTTATTCTTGCACCTTTTCTATTAGTTTTTGTTCACAAATATTTAAATGTAACATATAATTTTTATTTATTTCCACTTTTCTATCTTATATTTATCTCTGAATCTAAAGTTTTCCCTTGTACTTCTGTATTTACATATTTTTGTAAGACACCAACATCATAATGCACAATTGGGTACCTAATCATTTGTCCCCAAAATGACTTAAAGCAGGATTCTGTCCTTTAGACTCAAGCATTGAAGTATTTTAGAGAATTAAATTAGAAAAATTATTGACAACATTTTGGTTAGATAAAAACAAAAAGCTCGGATTGTCTATTGTTTTTCCTCTACAAATGAGATTTTTAGTATTGTTATTGAAATAAAGAGGAAGCAGGAAGAATTAAATGCTGTTTAATGATTTGAGGTAAAATTGTCTATAAGGCTGGTATTTCAATAAATCCCTTTAAATGGTGAAAAAAAATAAAAATAAATAAATACTGCTTTATGATTTATATATTATTAAACACATAGACATTATGTACATGGAGGAGGAAAGTGTTAGTTGGATTCTATAAAAGTAACTCTTTGTATAGTTATTGGCCTCATTAAGCAATATAGATTTATAGAATGTCAGTATCAATTATGCAAATATTTTTTTCTAATGAAATTATATTTACATAAAAACATTGTTTTCATTTATATGCCTACTAAAGTTACCAAATGTTTTTAATAAAGTTAAAATTAAGAATCATGAGTATATACAAAACTGAATTACCTTCTTATATAATCAGGATGGAAGAATTTGCAACTCCTTTATGATATGTTGAAATAAAATTACCCTTCCTGGGATTTGGATCAAAATTGCCTGTGCAATGAAGACTAGATCTATTACAAGAGTTTATCAGCCATTGCCAACTTGCAAGATTTCTTTTGTTACAGAACAAGTCATTGAAAAAAGTCAGTAGCAGAAAATTCAACTGAGAGAGTACAAGAAAATGTGGATACTGGACCAAATATTTCTGATGAATTGACTTGTTATAAGTATACACAAAGTAGATTTTTCACTAACAACTTTTTTCCTACTGAGTATCATGGACAAATCTAAATTTTAATGGCTCCACAAATGCACCTACAAACAGTTTACATTTGAATGGAAAAGGTATTTATCTTTTCCAATTGGTATGCAGAATATGCTGGAAAAGGGATTGTGACCTGAATCATTTTAAAGAAAGGAAATATGTACTTGCATATGAGTAATCTGAAGTCTTGGCTATACAGTAGGCCTGTGGCAACATACCTATAAAGTCTTTTAACCGAGTATGAATTTAGCTGACTTTTGGATTTTGTTAGCTTTTTTTTTTTTTCTCTTTTTTCCTCCTTTTCTGGAGAGATATTAATGTTGTATCAATTCAACTGAAAGAATTTTCAGTAAAATGAAACACACAAAAAATTAATAATTGAAATGTTAGAAAGCAATTGCTACGACCACAAATGGACTGTCAGTTCATAAAACTTTATCATTTAAACCAAGAGAAAAAATGTTCTCACTTACGAAGATTAAATTCATGAATGATGGAATAATCTGCATTTACATGTATTTTTACTTTGGTTATATGTTAATATGAGTGACAATTGTTTAGAAATGTGGCATTGTGTGAATTCTTTTTAAATTTTTATAAAGCCAATTTTTACTATTGTATCATTACAGAAGATTATTTTTATTTAAATATATACAAAGTAATGTAAGAAAATATGAAAGGTTTTGTAATGTTTATTTAACCTATTGCTGATTTGAATTCCCCCTGTACGAAAATAATTAGATTTAGCCACAAAAAATATATATAACATTTTGTTTTAAATTTAACAGTAAAGAAGAATCAGTTACATCAGAAGATAATAACTTTGAGAATTCAAAGATTACAGGTAACATTTCTTCTTTAACTTTTAAACAAAATCTGTCTCTTTTATTAAATCCTACAATTAAAACAATCTTACATAGGTACAATTATATTAACTTTTCAGATACCTATATCCCAACAATTGTTTCTCCTCATGAGAACAAGGAAGACTTGGAAACCAGTAATCAAAATGTAGAACATGTAAACAGGGAACATGATGAACATAATGAAAAAGAATTAGAGTTGATGGTAAGTGTTCTGGTTGCCACAGTATTAGGGAAGATGAATCCATTTATGCTTCAAAGATGCTGCAATGCTTGCCTTTCAATAGCTTCAGCTAATATAATTTGCAAATGTGAAAGCACAGCTTATTCTGTCCTTGCATCTCTGGCTTGATCAACAAGGCACTTTGATTTCAGTATTTTGCTTCTGGTCTCTGGAGTGGCAAATTAATGACATTCATGTCTTATCTTTTTACCAGCGGCTCGAGTAATAGTTTGTAGGATTTACAAGAGAGGTAGCACTATCCTGATGTGCATTTCTAATCTTTATGACAAGTGTACTCTTAGCATAAACTCATCTGTAAAATGAGAGGGCTGGACATTTATGATTGTTAGGGTCCTGTCCAACTTTACAAGTCTATGATTCTTACATTTAGCAGCATTTTTTTTTTTTACTTCCATCCTTCTAAGAATCCCAAAGTTCCAAATCATTGTATAGTATTAAATTACCAAGTGAGAAGAAAATAGCCTGTGCCATAGTTTTTAAATGGGAAACAAATTCAGTACTGTACAATTTAATATTAAATTTGTTATCATAAATTTCACACTTGTGAACATTCAATTTGGAATTTGGGGGGGTTAGATAGTACATTTGTCACAAAGGAAGAAATAGGAGTAAATGAGACACATAATGCAATTTATTCTTTACTGTATTTGGTTGGAGCTCATATCATTGGAATACGTGGGTTCATAATCATCTGAGATTAAAATGACATTTGCCTCTTCAAGTGTCAGTGCTGAAACAGAAAAGAAATTGAGCTCATCTCTTTCTCCACATATTCCACCTTTTCTATAGTGATATGAGAGCTGCATCACTAAAGTATGCAATTTACTTTGCTCCAACTTTAAGAAACTACAAAGTTGTCACCCATTGTGAGAATTCTCACCAGCTGAAAGTTAACATCGCCATTTTTTTTTCAAACCATAGAATATAATGAAAGGGCCCTGAAAAATCACATACTTCACCAATATACCTCATTACAACGAGCAGGCTCAAATATAAAAGTTTGTTTAGAAGTTACTGAAATTGTACATCCAATAAATGAACAGGGAGCTGTAATTTAGATGCTAATTTGCTCTATGCTGACGTTAATGCATAAAACAATGAAGCCGTATAATAGATGGAAATACAACCAAATCTGTGGAACCCACAGGCATTGGCTTACAAGACAGCTGTGCAGTTGACAAGTAACATGAGCCTTATGTGAGAAGAAGGGGAAGACGTAAGATTTGCATATAATTATTGAGATCATGCAAATGTCAGTTATGAGGAGAAAAAAAAAAAAAACAGGCATCTCACTGTTAAATCCTGACAGTTGGCATCACTGAAGAGCTCAAATACATTTGAGTACCAGTTGGCAGAGGGTCATTAAAACAGAATTTGCAGAGACATTAACTCCCTCACTTTTCTTTGAGTGACGTTTTGCTATTAATAGTTTGCAGAAGCTTTGCAGAAAACATATTAATAAGAGAAACTGTAATGGGGGCACCTACAGCAAGTGTAAATGCAGCAAGGGGCACCCAGGAAGCTGCTCTCTAATTGATTAGCATGGAGCTATCAATGTGTATATCCTAAGTGAGGAGAAAGTGCAATGACAAGCAAGAATAGTTGAATAATACAATGTGATATTTGGGAGCTGGGAAGGAGAGTGATTAATTTGGGCCCCGTTTCTTACTAATCTTGTTCCCAAGACATAGCCTACGAGGATCTCCCCCAAAACATCTGGCTTCCAGAGTTTGCATGAAATCCATAAATGAAATGAGTCCAGGATATCTACCAGCTAATTACCAGCCAAGTTAATAAAACCTATCTAATTCATTCTGTACGTTTAAAAAGATCATATGGTCATTATATTTTTTGTTGTTTTTATTCCATAAGATAAATCAACGCTTAATACGAAGTAGAAGTACTGCTTTCAGAGATGAAAAAGATACATTTTCAACAGATTCAGACAATTTTCCAAATAAAGCTGAGGAGTTAGAGAAGAAGCAAATCTATGGTGAAATATGCACTGACTCTTTCAAAAGGCCTTTGTCTCCAAGTTCATCAGCAGAAAGCTCCATAAAGGGAGATTTTTACCACAAAGAACAATATTCCTCAGGAAATGAAGGTAGTCATCAACCTTTAGAGGAAATTACTTCAGATATGGGAGACATCAAGCCATTATTGGGAGATACAAGTAATGACGAATTAGTGCAATTACATATCGGCAGCAGAGAAGTCCTGGATGATAATGCTAATCCAGCCCACAGGAGTAGCAGAGTGCAAATATATTGTCCCTCCTCTGATCAACTAATGGCAAGCAACCTTAATAAAAAACATGAAGGAGGAGCTAAGAAAATTGAAATAAAAGACTGGGAATGTCTAAGAAAAGATTTTCATTCAGATGTATCTGCATATCTGGAAGAATCAACAGAAATGGAATCTTCCAAGAAGGATTATGGCAATGGTAAAGATGAGGAGGAACAAAGAATACATTTAGATGTTAATGAAAAACAAAGCAAAAATTTTCAGTCAATCTTACATGACAGAGAAAGGAAGACAAGCCACGCTGAAATAAGTGTGAAGGGGACAGGAAACCTAACTGCTCTGCCAAGCAAAGGTAGAACAATGCCCACCCAGTCAATCACAGTAGGTACATGTCATTCGCCGAGGACAAATTTAAGATGGGAAGAAGCTGTGTTAACAACCACAGAGTGTGATCTCTTGACTAGTGAAGTCACCGCTTTAAGAGGGTTAACTGGTCAAGTTTGTTCACCAAGAAATGGAAATGTTTTGAGGAATGATTATCCTTTCCAAGTTGAAGAAGAAAAATCAGATAGGATTAATCCTGAAGATCAGAATAAAATCACACAGTGTAAACAAACTTGGAATGTTCTGGAAAGTCAGGGAAAAGCAAGAGGGAGTAAGACAAATGCAACAGAGCAGATCAAAGAACAAGCAGATTGTGAAGACATGTGGGGAAAAAAAGATAATACGAGGAGTTGGAAAGCTAGTCCTACAGAAGAATTGTTTACCTGCCAAAAAACAGTGTGCTGTGAACTGTCTTCTCTAGCTGATGATGGTATTACTGAGAAAGCAGAAGCAGGTACAGCTTATATAATTAAGACAACATCAGAAAGTACTCTAGAAAGCATGTCTGCTAGAGAAAAAGCAATAATTGCTAAGCTTCCTCAAGAGACAGCACGACGTGACAGGCCCATCGAGGTAAAGGAAACAGCGTTTGATCCACATGAAGGGAGAAATGATGGTTCACATTATGCCCTTTGTCAACGCGACACAGTGGGTGTAATCTACGACAATGATTTTGAAAAGGAATCGCATTTAGGTATTTGTAACGTACGTGTAGATGAAGTAGAGAAGAAAGAAGCCATGTCTATGTACAATCCTGGGAAGACACATGACAGGGAGAAACGTAGCCCTGGAAATGGAACATCTGCAGAATACTCACAGGTCATTACAGGCAATCAGAAAGCAACTTCAAAACGGGATTTACATTTGGGAATGTTACCAACAGACAAAAAAGTAATTCCAGAAAATAGAGATCGTGGGCAGGTCCAAGAATTATCAAAGAAAATGGACTTAGATACTGTTGTTCATTCTGCTTTTAACTCAGACATGAATGGAGCTTCTCAGAATGGCTCTAACATTTCCAAACACCATACTAAAACTTCAGTGCCATCTTATGAACAGGCAATTGCTGTGGCTACTATGACTCTGCAGTCTATTTCTACTAAATCAGAATATAATTGTAATCCAACGAGTGAAATCCAGGGTATTGAGAAGCACCCTCAGCCTTGGCCTAAACCTGAAGAAGTTTCCAAAAGTTCAGGAATAGTGACATCAGGTAGAAAAGAAAGATGTATAGGCCAGATTTTCCAACCAGGAGAATGCAGTGTGGAAAAATCTTTAGGGCCAATGATTTTAATCAGTGCACCTCTTGAGAATGTGGAAGAGGTGAGGCATGAAAATGAAGGATTAACAAATTCTGGACAATCTCTATGCTCTTCAGGTGACAAAGAATCTGAGAGTTCTGCTTCTGCTAGTCTCCCTGTTCGGGAAAGTCCAGCTCAAAGCAATGAATCTCTGCTTTCGAAATATACCAACTCTAAAATACCTTATTTCCTTTTGTTTCTGATATTTCTTGTAACCATCTATAACTATGACTTAATGATTGGCTTGGCATTCTATCTTTTTTCATTGTACTGGCTATCCTGGGAAGGGGGAAAACAAAAAGAATCTGTCAAAAAGAAGTAACTTCAGCTCTATTATTATTCTCCCTTAAAAGATAAGCTATTTAGCCCCAAACATTTGGAATGGTGAAAGAGACTATTCATTGTTCAAAGAGCCAGTGCAGTTTTTCTCTTGAAGGATCATTTAAAAAGGAATGCGTATGAAGTTTGCTCCTTCATATAAGTAATTATTCTATATAGGACCATTATGTTTGGATCATTAAATACCTATATGAATATGAGATCTGAAGCACGTCAAGTTGAAATTAGGTACAGCTGTTGCTCCTTAGCAGGCTATGAAGTTGCAATGCTTCACGTCTCTTCACTACTTAAAGTGCTATTTCTTGCATTCATTTCTTTTGCAGTAAAGCTTCATTTTTTTCCCTGAGTATTTTCCCCCCTGTGGTTTTAAAAAATAGATAAAACATAGACAATGGCCGGGATTTTTTTTAGTATTGACCATGAAATTTGCGCTTACCACTGTATCATTTATCAGTACATTTTAATAGATCAAATATTTGTACCTCATTTCATATTTTAAGGAAACACCCAATGTATATTGCAATGTGTAAACTTAAATTGAAGAAAAATTACCTTCACTTGAATAATACTTTGTATATGCACACACACACAACACACATGCACACACCTTATAGCTTCTTTATACTCACAAAGTCAGGGCATTCATAAGACAATCTGACAAAGACTGAAACAACTGGAAGATTATTTTTCAATTGCACAAAATTTTATGAGTGGCCTATCTTTAAGCAATGTTTTTCTCTTGTAAAGGGAGACACAGCTGAACAATTTCAATGTCAACTATTATTCGGAGTTGAAAATCTAAATGCAAAGTTCCACCAGCATTGCTTGAGAGTGAATTTTTATCTATAAAGCATAAGGCATTAAATAATAATAATTTTTTAAATTCCAAATGAACTATTTGTTCTTTATGTTAGTATTTTTGTCTTCAAACATATTTATAATCTTTTCTCATTATAAGATAATGAATTTTCCCCCAAGGTACATTTAGAGAACAACCAACCAGTCATAGGTGATATTTATTATGTGGTTATCAGGATGTTGATGATGACTCAAAATTTGAAGTAGGCAAATAGTTATATGTGGAAATCTACTGAAGAAATGAATATCTAGTACAGCAGTGACTTTGTTGTTATTACCTATACCTAAATGTGTGAAATAATGGAACTAATCATTTTAGTCAAGTAAGGATAATGCAAGGATTCATATACAATTTATTTCAACAGCTATTTATTGAATGACTACTACATGCAAAACTCTGTGCTCTGTTCTGTGGTACTCTATACAGAGTATAGCTAGTCCTAGGCATAGGTCCATAGTGTGATACTTGTGACTTGGCTAGGAATATGGAAGAAAGTCGCAGGGAGGGAGCCTATTTGGATGATTCCTTTTTTTATACAAACTTTTTTCAAGAAAATGTGACATTGATCTTCAGAGAGAAAAAGTAATCTGTTTGTTTACCCATAAAGGTAAACTCAATGAGTAAAACTTGCTTATGTTATCCCAAAAATCTAAGAAATATGCATTTATGGGAAGAAAAAATAAAAATGAAATATTTAAACTGATTTTCATCTGGTAGTAAATGATTTCTTTAATTTTCATTAGGTACACAACTATTTCCAAATCTCCTAATTGCATATTATTCTCAAGTCCTATTGAAAATGAATGCTTGACTTCAACTTTTTAGCTGATCAAATACAAATATCCTGAAGTAGAACTTAGAGCAAATATTTGATTATTTGAGAAGGCACTTTTTATCAAATACAAGTGGATACTGTAAGCAGTACCTAGAAATTATCTCTAAACTTGCTTTACTGATAATTTTGTTGACAGGTCTAACTTACAATGGGGTTAAGGTTAGCATTTCTTCAGTTCTTAATGGCTTGGTTTTTGAATTCTACATTTAAGAGTTTCAGTCAACACGTCATATCTCATTAATGCAAAGAACACTGCATTACTTTATGAACACAGGTGTCCAAGCTGGAATTATTTCCTTTAAAGAACAACTTTAGCTATTTTATCTCTTTTATTTGACTTTTGATAACATTAACTTATCAAACCTTATACATACTTGTAATATGAAAATAGAATCTTCAAAGAGTTTTAAATACTCAATCATATATTTCTCTGCATGCAATGAAGAAATAATTGATACATTTAACTAACTTTCCAAATATTACTTACGATGAAGTTGAAATAAAGTCATCATAACTTGTGAAACTATTGCTAGGTGGAGAGGTGAACTTCTGCAACCTGTTTTGGTCACGTCACTGTGTTGAACAAGAAAAGTGAATCTCACAAAGAACTGGCAGCCCCTGGTTAATAAAGATTTGGTTGTGAATTGTCATGACAAGAGTGATCTATGTAAGCATAGCTGCCCTTACTGTGTCTCACCAAGTATTGGTTAAGGGCCAAATGAAGTTGTGGCAGGAAAGTTAGCAAAGAATAGTGTGTTGCAAATCTGCTTCATACATTGAGTACTGAGCTTCTAACTACTAGAGCTTCTGACTACTAGAAAAATTCTAAAAATTAATTGCAAGCCAAACAAGAATAGGTAGGAAAAATAATTATCGTTGAAAAATCACATCTGTACAACTCATCAGTGTCATAGTAGATTTCTCAACATAAGAGGAAACAAGTCAATGAGATGGCATTCATCCTTCAACACTGGGTTAATGCAGCTATGTTTCGCTGCTGCACTCCAATATTTTGATAGTGAATTATTTCAAAGAGTATATTTATGTATCTGTATCTATATATCATCATTTTGTGAGAGAACCAGGATTATCTTTGATTTATCATCTTAAACCAGTCTGCTGGTTAAATAGAAAACTTAAACATATCCAGACCAAATTTGAGGAAATAAATAAGATATTTTGTTTTCCCAAGAATCATTCATAGTGCTTTCTTAATAATGTTTTTTCCAGTTATGAATATTATGCATATTATTTTGTATCACCAGGACTATTTTATTCTTTATTAGGATCACATTTTACTTATAAATAAACTAAAAAAGCAAACAAAGGAAAACAACAAAAAGCTAGTAGGAAAACAGGTAAGGATGCAGGCAGGTCCATCTATTGATTTCTGTTATCACGATTTCTGATCTTTCTTTCAAATTTTCACTGAGTGAATATAGAAATTGAACTACGCAATAAAGACCTTCTTTTGTTATTTGAATCCTGTCTTAGCCAGTTCCTGTGGAACTGAGGAATAAGATCGACTTTGATTCTGCAACAAGGTGAGAAAAAAATATGACAGGCCATGCTCCGCAGGCATCTCCACCGCAATACATCTGTCTGAAGAGCACAGCTAACAAGCTTATTTTTATTTATTTGATTAAGTTCATTTGATTATTTTTGTTTTCAGAAATAATTTATATAAAATCATGGTAACATAATTTATTTTTTATATTTTAAAAATAGATTTGGTCATTAATCCAATATGTTTTCATCACTTTAGCCAAACCTCTTTAAACAGCAAAATGTTCAGGAAATTTTCAGCCTAGTTTTGAATAAACACATGTTTTACAAGAAATGCCTTTACTGTACTGTTAAAGCCTTATTGAACAGACAACTTTTTAAAAAGTACAGCATTTTCATTTTGCATCATTTCTATATTCATTAAATGCATATATATTACTTTCATATTTCATTTAAAAACAATATATTATGTGGAAATTTAATGAAAAAAATTTAAGTATTTTACTAATATATTCATTTCTTTATATTCATGATAATAAGGAGGGGTATGGGTAAATCCATAGTGTGTTAGAGAAAAATCATTTTTATTTGTCTGTGATACCTCCAAGATCTGATTTTGCAGCAGATTTCAGTGCCTAATTAAATTACTGGTCTTGGGTTGGAATTGGTGCATCTTCCTTCTTATCACCCATCCAAACCATCCAGCCTTATTTCCCACTGCTCCTTTTCTCAAGCCCTCTGTCAGTCAAACAAGTCACATTGTCCCTAGAGTATGCCACCTTGTCCGTTCTTCTGTGACTTTGCTCATGTATATCCCTCCGTCTAGAGGACACTTTATATTATCTCTACTCCTCTCTTCCTATCCAATTCTGCACATTTTTCTATGTACAGTTCAAGTCCCTGTCCTTTCGAAGTATCCTGCTATTTTAGTTGGTGGAATCTCTGTTTTCATATCTCCTGTGACACTAACCTTCTTTTGTGCACTGGGCATTTGACTAATTATCCTAACTGGACTGTCTGCCTAAGGTTTTCTCTTCCCTCCTATCACCCTGCAAGGTCTAGTTTGTAGGGACCTTCAGTCAATACTTGTGGATAGAATTGAATTGCAGTGATGCCTCATTTCTTTCCTGTCCCTGAAATGTGGGCAAGATACTCTGAGGTCTGATTTAAAAATGAATAAATTTAACCAAATTGAAACTAGGTTGTTTTAGAAAACTACTGAAGACAAGTAAAAAAAGTGGTTGAAAAAGGCAAAGAAGATGTAGAGAGGTCAGAGTGGTGTGGTGGATTTGAGACATGGGAACAGAGAAACAATCCTTTCTCTCCATTTCTCTTAACAATTAAATTGATTTTCCATATTTATAAATTCTTCCTAGCACACAAAACATTTTAAAAATTCTATTTCCGGGCTGGCCCGGTGGCGCACTGGATAGTGCACCGCTTGGGAAGCGCGGCGGCGCTCCCGCCCGAGGGTTCGGATCCCACATACAGACTGGTTCCCGCTCACTGGCTGAGCGAGGCGCGGGAGCAACACCGAGGGTTGCAATCCTGTTGCCGGTCCCCGGTCCGGTACGGGGGCAACACTGAGGGTTTCGATCCGTTGCCGGACATGAAAAAAAAAAAAAAAAAAAAAAAAAAAAAAAAAAAAAAATTCTATTTCATAGCAAGTATTATACCAATTATATATTAAAAGGACAGCAAAACATACCTTAATTCACTGGCTAAGGTGAAAACTAATAGAATAAGACATGTTTTCAGATAAAGTAGCTCAGTAGCTTAAAAACCAACAAACATCACAAGGAATAAAGTGTAAGAAACCCGATATTCCTAACTGCTGCCATGCCCTTTAAAAATGGCTGATCTCTCAATTTCACACCTGTTCTGCATGACAACTTTTAGGGTAAGCAAATAGAACAACTGGAAAAAAATAGCCAGTGAATTTTTAAAATAGAAAGCATTTGCTTAACTTATAAAGGAATATGCACACACACACACACAAACATATGTGTGCACACATACATATACCCACATCTGGTTCTAACATCCAATAAGTGACAGTAATTGCAGTGAACACAATCTACTAGTACTATGTGTAGGAATGTATGTAATATATGGAGGCTTATCCTTTCCTTGAAGAGACTCATCAGATTTGGGTATGAAATTAAAGTAATAACACAAAGACATGCCTATTTTTGAGACAGAGTCCAAAAGAAAGTTGTATATGACCTGGAAATGTAGTAGCAAGTCATATAATGGCTTAAGACCATCAGCAATTAGTCTTGTAAAACTTAAACAAAAACCAGATACATGTCTTCTAGATTGCAGAATTCATTAACATCATGTATTGGTTGACTTGGTTCTGAATGGAAACATTTTTAGAATTTCCTAAAGACACTCTGCAAAACACAATATGGAACAGCAGGGAGATGGTACTTAGGAATCATTATAAGAGGTATAAATTCTCTTTGTAAACACTTAACCCATAATCTACATTTCATAATTTTGTGTAAATGGCCTTTATGTTAGAATTTATAAATATTTTTAGCAAGGAGCATTTATGAAAGTATCACAAATTTAAATCATTTTTAATGTACACTATAAAAATATTGTATTTTGTTTCTACACATTAACTGACTTCCCAATTAATAAATAAATTTTTGGGAAATCCAATTGTCTTTTTTCATGATGCATATAAATTTTCCCT